AGACTGAAACATATTATTTCACACGAGGAGAAAGATTCCGTTTGTGCTTGGATTGCTTTTTTAATATATATGTAGATATGCGTGTTTATATTATTAAATGCTCCTTTTTCATGATAATAATTCCAAGAAGTTTTTCTAATAGCAGGATGTACTTCCATACAATTAGAGTAATTGCGTTGAGAAACTTCTATATCTTTTTCACGTTCTCTTTCATAGTAATTTAGTATTTTATTTTGCTTCGTTGAGTTCTCTTTACAGGCATACACAACAGAAGCAAACCTTTCTCCCTTCGGCCTTTCTGGCTTGCTATTCCGGCAGATCATATATATGCAGATATATCAAGTGACATGCAGGTTGCGCTAAGTGTGCGCACTATTGTGGAAACAAATTATATTATCATACTTTTCTTTTTATAGAGCATCATCCCTGCGTGAGATAGATATTCATTTTTTTCGAACAACTGTGTTGATTTCCCATGTTTTAATTTTACTATTGTTTATTAGCGACTTTTTATGTTAATGAATACATTGCAATTTCTTTTCCAAACGATGAGAAACACAAATTTTCAAAATAGCTGCTATAATATTTGATAATAGCAAAACCTTGATGTCATTTTAAGCTACACTATAGTGATACAAAACTGTTGATCGGAATAATGCCTATAAGATTTATCTAAACATAATTCTTTTTTTGCTCGGTTATATTTGCAAACATTACATTATATGCAAACTCATGGATTTAACTAAGGAAGAAAAATTTTCTCTGACGTCAGAGGAAAAATAAATCTTAGAGTAACGTTATAAATGCTGTTTTCATACTTCTTAAAAGTTTTCGGAGAGTACAGGAGTGTTAATGGTGTCAGAGAAGCTAGTTTTTGATGATTTGTTTCATAATTAACAATTTTTCACAAGATACAAAATAAACTAGAAAATCTGTTGTTTTTCAGATTAAGATAGGGTGAAGATATTTGAGTTAAATAATTTTTTTCTTTTTTGAACTAATTTATACTTTCATTTCTGGTCTATTTTTATAAAAGTACTTCTCTCCTTTTTCTATTCATTGAGATTCACATTTTCGAGGAAAAAATAAAAAGCTGAAAGAAAAGAAGAAATTAAATTATAATAAACTATTGTTCGTATTACACGCAGATAATACGCCAATCCTTCACATAATGAAACAGACAACACTATAACCAGATTCAAATGACACTCGTTACTTTGAGCTTTCCTCGCATTTCCTTTCTAAAAATAATGAAGCGAGAAATTTAAAAAAATAGATACTTTTTCGTTGTAAAAAGTAATCAAGTTATCATGACTTCCACCTACTGTAGAGATTGCTATTTATTTTAATGAAAGGAAGTAAGAGCTAGTTGTCACACTAATTTCTATTCTAGAAATCCTCCCATTGCTTTCCGCAAATAGAACAATGACAGAATACTTTCTTTATGACAATAAAATAGAGCAGCATTTATCTTGAATAAACTTAATAATATTACATGTATTTAAGAAACTTTTCTGTTAATTTAAAAACTTTCAAACCCATACAGTACTAGTCGGCTCACCTTAGAGGAAACAGTTTTGCCGATATTGGCACATATAGTCAAATAGATCTTATCAAGTTATACTGAAGTAAGTGTTATTATTCATATTTTCTGACGAATTTTTATTGAGAAAATTTCATGAAACATATTTGTCCACAAATAACCTCACAATCATAAAGAGGTTTGAAATTTTTTTTCTACTATGTTATAATATTTTCATATGTTTCTCGCTGATTTTATCTTTCTGAAACATTTTATTGTAAACTGTTGGAAACGTTTTCTGTGGAAAAGAACGAGCTCATATAGCAAGAAAATGAAACTGGTTCTTGATTACTAGTAACGCGAGTGGAGCTGTTGATAGATTTGAAGATATTTGGAAGAGTATCAATCAAACACATCAAGTATTGATGAACAATGTTGCTTTTAACGTAATAAAGGCTCTCTTCTATATGTTAAAACAGTTATGCATACGTTTCAGATACCATCGTTTTTTTCTTTAGTAATAAAAAAGTTTCCTATACCAGTAGCAACAATTACAGCAAGTGTTAAAGTTATGTTCGTATTTAGCAGCTTTTATAAATATATGGCAAGTTAGGCATTAGCTCAAAATACAGTTTCGAGACACATATTTAGTTTAACAAAATATATTTGTCTCGATTTTTAGGTTTTGAGCTTATTCTTAAACTATTCTTTATGTTGTTGGCAAAATGAGAAATAGTGATACAATGGAAACAGGCATTTTTAGTATAGCCATCGACATCCTAACATACTCAAAATCTAAAGAAAGCAACCAGTCTATCGAAAGCGCATGCTTAATTATTTTGATAATTCCATGACAGATATATTCATTTTTTTATGAATATTCAATATATTTGCTACGCGATGCTTCTTTCAAAATTTCAGTGAGTTGTTATTTGTAAAAACTTTGCAAATATATTCTCTTTTAAGGGCCTTTTAATATCTGAAAACAATGAGAGGTTACTTTGTTCTTTGCAAATTACATAATAGAATAGCTTTGCTCAATTACCGTAGTCGTATATTAACAATGTAAGCATTTTTCTAGGAAATTTTCATTTTATTTGCCGATAATCATTGAAATTGGTGGAAGAAAAAACATTGCTATACTTTCAGTAACTATAGCAATTTTCACCGAAGGCTAAGTGATTTTCGTATTTTTCCACCCGACGCTTCGACAGAGACAGTTTCTAGATAAGATTTGTTACATTTCAAATATTCATACCCTTTAGACATTGTGCCAATACCTATTTTGCGCATAATTCGGACATGAACTCATGTATAGACATTCATTTTGTTAACTGGGGATATTTTCGATGTAGCTTACTACAAGATTCAAAATCCAAGGCGTTGCACAGTAAGAATATTTTTTCTCTAACTAATTTAAAATAAATAAGGCAAATTATAGAGGGACCAATATACATGTTTTTCAGTAGATGCTTATAAATCTAGAGGAGAATTATTTTTCTACACTGTACGACTTCATAAATTTGCTAAAATTAATAAAAAAAAAACATTTCAGACGGCTGCATATTTTGACTAATTACAAAGCTTGATTAAATTTCATAAATATTCTCAACGACGACTCCGTGAACGTAGATGACAAAATAAAAATAAGTTCAAGATGTTCTTTGTCATAGATGGTAGATCGTATTAAATAAATGTGTGGCATCGAGCTGCACATGCTATAATAGAGAACAGAAATTCAGAATTAAGACTCTGGCATAATATCATACCCCCCTCCGTCTCATGTCAGTTTTCATATTAAATTTCAGTCATTTCTAAAATTAGAATCTTACTCTCAATAGTTTTTGTGCTGCAACATTAATAATTTTTCGTATCATCTGTTGATGTTTTCATGTTTGAGATTTTCTTTTTCCATATTCATTGTTGAAATCAATACCACCCAACAAATATATTAACGATTCGTTACATTTCTACATCTTCTCATAATGTCATCAGTTACAGTACAAAACATAGTGGATGTTACTCAGCTGTACAACATATACGCATTTTCAATTATTTCTCTACTCGGACATATTGGAAATATTTGTAATATTATTATTTTTACCAACCTGAAAAAGTTCCGAGAATATCCTAGCTCTTTCTATATTATTGCTGAGTCAATTGTTGATCTCGGTATTCTATCTCTTGGTGCCAACTTACGAGTTCTTGATCAAATATTTAAATTTCAGTCAGGTCCAATAAATTTGCTATGGTGCAAATTCAGACAACCAATCATTCAATGGTGTACGAATATGTTTCTATGTTTGGTTAATTTCGCAGTCATCGATCAATATTTATCTACAAATTTTAGACCCCACTGGAGGCAATGGAGCACTGTTAGATTAGGGAAATATCTCATTGCAATTGCAGCTATTGCTTCGTTTTTCTACAACATACTATTCGTCATCTTTTACAAAACCAAAGTTCAATTTGGGTGTTCGATCACTGATGTGGGGATGACTCGATACTACTCATATTTTCATTTGATCATTCTACAAGGAATTCTACCGATGTCTATAGCATTCATATTTAGTATATGGGCCTACCGCAATGTTCGACGAATTCATCGACAACAACTGAGTAATACTCGACGACGAATGGATCAACAGTTTACAGCTATGATTCTTGCTAGAGTGATAGTGTTTGTTCTTTCTCTTGCATTTTATGTTGCTCAAAACTTTTACACAATGAATATACAGAATCATCTCTATCAAGGACTTTCAGCGGCCGTTGGACTATTGGTCACAAGCATCAGTATCTCTATTAGCTATATGAATGTTGCGGTATGCTATTTAGGTTTTTGTCTTCATTTTTTCATACTCATTAATGTTCACAAATTTCTAGAGCTTATTTTATGTATACTTGATTGCATCGATGCGATTCCGTCGTCAAGCAAAATATATTTTGATGAAAAAGTGTTCACAATATTGTCGATGGATTCCAGAAAAACTTCATCTGTTTAGTATGAATAATCAAGTAGTGCCAACCATGAATACTGTACCAGACTATATGGATGAATGAAGCTCACCATTGATATCATCATGAACGAATAGATTTTTCAGTTCTACAAAAACAATTTCCGTGTTCTTTGATCTCAACGCAAGAACGAGTTGATTATGTGAAATTTTTTTCAAATCCATCTGTAAAATAAAAGAAGACAGTGACATAAAAGAAAAATAAATATATCATTGTACTTAGGTTTGACCAAAAGTTCTGCAATTTAAAATAAAAAGGAAAAGGAAAAGTTCGAGTTTTATTTTATTAAATGTTGAAAATAGTCCCCATGATTATTCATACAAAGTTCCATCCTTTCTAACAGTTTGCCAAAAGGTTTTTTATATTCGTTTTCTGGAATATTTTTTACCGCTTTGGATACCGCACAAGTTAATGATTTTTTATTTGTTTGATCGATTAAATTATGCTTGATGCAATCATTTAGTCAATAATCACACGGTGCAATGTCAAGTGAATATGGTGGATGTGCCATTATATTGATACCTTCTTCTGTTAAATAATTAATAACGTCAGAATGAATATGGGGTCGAGCATTGTCGTGAAGCAATTTGATACCTTTTGTGCCTGCTGATTTTCTTTGTTTCCATATTTCCTTGGCAACAGAATTGGGGAAATTTTCAATATAGTAGTTGTGATCTACAGTCTTGCCTTCATCAACACAATGTATAAGAGCAGGATCATTTGATTTAAAGAAAATAGAAAATAATTTTTTAGTTCAAATTTGCTTCGACGGATTACAGTAATTGGGGATTCACCTTCGCCAACCCAGCTTGCGCTCTTTGACTTGCGATGAATCTGCCTATGGTAAATCCACGTTTCATCATCTGTTATAATATCACATAATTGCCAGGAACCATTTTTAAATTTCGCCAAATTTTCACGACAAAGTTTAACTCGTTGTTGTTTTTGTTGATCAGTTAGTTGATGCGGTACCCAACGAGATGTAACATTTTTCATCTTGAGATAGTCGTGGATAATTCGTTCTATTGTACCATGAGAGAGAGAGTCTCAGCTATAATTTAATCATAAGTTGAATGTAGATCATTGCTCATAACTTGTCGAACCAGTTCAATATTTTCATCTGTAAGTTTGGATACTATTGGACGACCAGATCGAGAATCATCATTGACATCTTCTCTTCCTTCACGAAAACGTTTTGTTCCTCTTGTAACCATGGGCGGCGCAAGCTAAAGTTTCTAGGGGTAGCAATAAGTTTATTAAACCGATAATGTTTAATCAATTTTCTATGTGCCAAAGAAATAGTTTTGCATCAAATAGCAAACAATAAAAGCAAACCTTTTTACAGAAATTGCTAGAAAAATCGCTTACGGCTTCTACT